TAATTATTCATCTAAGTCTTATTCAATAGAACAGTTTTGAAGCATTAATCAATATTCATTAATTTATTATATTGTTCTCTTTTTAATGAATCTCAAAGGGACATTTAACGTGTAAAATTTAATGCGAATTATCTCAATAAAATCGAAAGCCTTTTCATCAATGAAATATATATTCGAATCGGAATTTTTAATTTAATATCATCAATGTAAAAAGTGTTGACAAACAGTTCGATTAGATATGTAATTTGTTTTCTCTAGCGAAACATTTTCACACTTTTCTATATCGAGAAGAGAAAATTGTTTTTTTTATAGTTTCTTTTTTTTTTCAAGCAAATAAAACATAAAAGATCTTATCAATTGATCATATTTAGCAAGATATGAGACTTGACAAAAAACGGAGAGAATCTCATTTTTTGTTGACAACATGATTATTAAACAAAAAGAAAATACATCTCTATCTTATTATCACTAGACTTGTTCTTTATCACTTCTAATATATGTATAGATTATTTTCATAAGAAATTCTATTGTAAATATTTAATCGTTCATAACTAAAAAAACAATTGATTTTTTTTTAGTTTCGTTATTTACGCTTTAGTAATATCCGTTCTCATCTAAAGATTTATAAACGATTGTAAAGATCAACATGCAATAAGTTGATTGACATATAATAGTCACACATATAAAAGAATTATTATTATTATAATTATTTTTTGTTAGCTGATCTATAAGTTTCATAAGTGAGAGTAGTATTGTTTATGATTTGTTTTCATTGAGAACAAGCATTAGAGATTATTTTTATTAAAAACAATATACACTAACAACATTCAATTCATTGATAAATCATCACAGAAAGCAAATAATACATAATATATATTAAACTCTTAATACTGAGAATATTATAGAGATGTTTTTATTCTATAAAGTAGTACTAGACGTGTCTTGTCGACACAAAAGGCGACCACTTACGGTGTATAAACCCCCGTGTTAAGATAATTAACGACGATTAGTAATAATTGATCTAAATGGATAGTTTTACTTAAACTTAATTATAAGTCCTGAGCAAATCTCAATATGAGCCATGTGATTCATACCGGACAAATATTTAATTAAGCGTCCAACAAATAGCAGTCGTTTAAACAATTTCCGTTTTTTTTTATAGTGCAAAAAGAGTTAATGTTTGAATAATTGCATAGAAATTGACAACTATTAAAACTATTTATTGGATATTTTAGAATGATTATCAATAAAAAAAAATATGTTAGATGATGAACACAGTCAACAATTTATAAAAAGAACTTTATAGAAAAATAAAATAGTAGAAATTAGTTTATTATTTACAGGTTTTTTTCTCGATGTTTTTCAAAATTCATCTACACCATCAAACAATATTAAAATGTGTTTATGAATGAATAACGGTGAGAAATAGGTATTAAATGTTAACTCTTTATGAGTGACTCGATCGATTGAAATAAACAACTGAAGATAAATATTTGAAATGAAAGCAATACTACCATCGACAATCTTAATAAAACGAAAGACTTATTTCTTTTCTCCTCATTGATTAATAGGATAATAATCAAATTCTAATAAATTAATCCCTATAGTCATGTTAAATTATTATTTAATTTATTTATTTTAACAGCTAAACGTGATCAGAAACCTATTGAACTATCAAGCTCCAAACAAATGGATTGTAAAGCAATATGACAGATTACCGTTAAAATTAATAGAGTCATTCGCCATTTTCGATGATCGAAGCGATCATTCTAGGTGGTACGTTAAAGGGCACTTGTTTGATCTATTATTCAAGATGATATCACCTTCGAATCGATATACACAAAATTTAATATTCATATCCAAAGAATTTTAAATTAACTTATACCATTGAATATTAGTCTTTATCATAACAATAAAAAACAATTAACAATATCATAGAATATATCAAAGATTTAATTTCTAGTTGAAAAATTAGTTGACAATTATTCTATTAGAATAAATAGTATTGAAAACCTATCAGATGATCGAAAAACTTCATTATAATATTAATCAGAATATTCTCTTAATTAAGTTAAATAAATAAATTATTTTTTAATATGATCATTTATATATTCATAAACATCATTAGATAACATTTCATTCTATGAAAAAAAAACACAAACGTTAACATTAATCAATTTGATCGATTAATCGAATGTAAATTATACGAAATGAATACGTTCTGTACCTAATGTCCATTTCAGAGATAAATGGCCGTGGGTATTTTTCGAAGAACTTTTGATAGGAACGAGATAAAGTCCTGCAGTTTTCACCGTTGGAAAGAGCAGATGAAAATGCATCGAACCATATATAGAAAGATTTTTCTAACAACTTTCCTGAAGGTTTTAGTCAAACGTTTTCAAAGAATTGCGTTTTTCTCCTACGTTAAAAAAGTGATTTTTCTATCAAAATATCACAAAAAACCTCCATTTTTCGACTATTTTGTTGAAAAACTGGGTGGTGAATTGCACTCCAACGGCTAGAATATCGTATTGGTAGTAGTTAGGAATAGAGCCTTTCCATAGTTTTTTGTAGCTCTTCATTTTGCGGTTCTAGCACACTCCTGAAAGTCAATAAATTAATATCGCAATCATGAGAGGCATGCTGTTTTTCTTGAAGTTTTACGTAAAACCTTCAGGAAAGTCGTTAGAAAAAATCTTTCTTTATATCGTTCGATGCATTTTCATCTGCTCTTTCCAACGGTGAAAACCGCAGGTCTCTATCTCATTCCTATCAAAAGTTCTTCGAAAAATACCCACGGCCATTTATCTCTGAAATGGACATTAGTTTTGGAATATTTTAAAGCTTATTTTCTCATTTCGAGAATAAAAACTAATATGAGATTATAGAAAGAGAAAACATTTGAATCAAAAAACAAGGAAAAAAAAGCAGCAGAGTTTTCCTATTGTTAAATGTTGTTGATTTATAAATAGAATCGTTGATGTCTACCTTAATTTTTTCGATAAAATACTCTTTCTTTACTTTTTCGAAAATCTTCACTTGTTACTTTCATAGGACGTTCTCCTAATGCCATTAAACCAGATTCCGTATTAATAGCCTAAAATAAATATTCTTCTTCTTAGAAACAAATAATCATTTTAAACTAACATTTAATATCGTCATCACTAACGATCATTGTTTAGCCATAATTAATTATTCTAAATCAAGATCAACAGCAAGTCTCATACGACCTCTATCAATTTAAAATATCATTCGACGTATTTTTTCATCCGATAGTGGAAATTCAATTGTTCTCATCGATACGACCAGATCGAATTAGTCACGGATAAAGACTATCAATTCGATTTATTCCCATAATAACCTAACGAAATTATTTTTTGTTTATCAAAACAAAAGAACAACTAAATTTTTACTTTAATATGTCGACGAGAATTAAATCTATGAAGTTAATTTAATAATTGTAACATTGTTCTTTGAATTTCTCTTTTACCACCTGACATTTGATTCATAACTAAATAAAAACGATTAAATTTAAAATGTGTGTTTCTATTAGATAAATAAATAGAAAGAAAATATACCGGTTTCTTCCAATAGCACCAATTTCATCAATAAAAACAATAGCTGGAACATATTATTCAGCAACACAATATAATTCACGTAGAAGTTTTGGAGGACTATCACCCGAATATTTCTCGAAAATCAATCATTTTATCTTCGAGAAATAAATCTAAATTAGCAAATATTTTTCAATTAATTCTCAATTAACTACACGTTAAAATGCTCCCGATGTTTTATTGTCTACAGATTTGGCAATGAAGAGTTTTATCTTTATAAGATATTTTATTTTCTAATTAAACAAAACGATTCAATTCTCATTAGACATCCATCAAATTCAAACTCTTTCACTTTTCATCATCTCTTTTCAATGCTTAGCTTATCATTTATCTACATAGAATATTGACTGCATATGGTACAAATGTCGATAGGTACCAGAGTCTTCCTATATCGTCTACTAATTTCAAAGCAGTAATGCTGACTTATAGATTACGTTTTTCACATGTTCATTATAATCAAGGTTTGAAGTGAGAGGCAAAAGATAAAACCATGTGAATAAGAGAAAAGCTCTCACTGTTTGGTAGATGTCTTGTTTATCAGATATCTGTTCGAGGTTGACCATAAAGAATAACACCTTTCGCTGGTTTAATACCCATTTATTCATTATATTCACAATGAGTTAATGGTAATTCAACAGATTTATTTGAAAAAAAACAAAATTAGAGAATAATTCGATATTCATCTAGGGATTTCTCATATAACTTGAGTTTCTTGAATGTTGTGTTGTTACTCTACCGATATCTTCATATATAAATTGATACAAAAAAAAAAACTTTAAATGTTTGTTTTATGTTTATTTTGGTGCATCTTTCAAGTATCATAACAGCAACCATTCGATCAACATCATCACCTAATAGGCCAATAACAGCATGTATCTAAAAGATTCGATTAGTTCTTGTTTTATCTAAATGAAAAGATCAATTATTTACTTAATGATTTAATAAAGCTCTACATCCATCTTCTAGTTGATCTTTATCAACAAATAACATTATAATAACATTATGTTGAGAACCAACTGATGTTGAGACAATAGCATGGTTCTAATCAATAATTTCTTCTAAAGTAGGAACAGTCATTGGTGATCTGTCTGAAATAAAACCGAACAAGGAATGATTATTTATAGAAGCACTAGTAAAAATAGACAAGATTTTGCTCTAAAATCTATTAGAAAGAATCTTAACATTCTATTAATTTTTTACAAAAAAGATACACCATCAAATTTTTTACAAGAATAACAATAGAAAAATCTCGTTAATTATTTTTTTTATTGACTTTCTTATTTTTATTGAAATATAAAAATTCTATCATACCAAATATGATCGACTTTTGAACGTTCTTCCTAAAATAATAAATTATAATTGTTTTGTAATTTTTAAATGAAATAATTATGCTTCATGACGATCTTCTTGTGGTTTTAAACGTTCTTGATTTTTAATAAATTCTTCTTCTAATAATAAATTATCTTTAATACGTTCAAAACGTAATTGTTTCAAATGACAATGTCTATATGGTAAAACTTCTGCTAATTTATTAGCTGTGTTCAGGACCTTTTGTAATTTTTTTTCGTGTTTCCTATACGTGCTGGAATAGATGGTTCATTTTTTTTTTCTAGAATAAATAAATTTTTGTTTATCGAATTAATCGATTTATTTTTCTTACTTCTTTATCTCCTGTTCCATCACCACGTCGTTGACCACTTGAACCTTGATTTTCCTAGAAGAAAATCAATTTTTCTAAAACTGAAAATTTTCATTCTCATCATTTTGAAAATCTACAAGAAAAAGAAAAAAAAAAGATCATCGTTATCACAAACAAAATTAAGTAGATTGATTGATGTAGTTATGTTTGTTTGTTTGTTTTCTTAAGTAAGAAACAATTACATATTCCCTTTTTTTTTTCTTCACAACAATAGGAGTAGAAAAAAAATGATTACACAAGACACGCAAACGTGTATGAACAAGAAAAAAAATTCTTTTTTTTTACGTGAAGTCAACAAGTCTTATTTTTTTTTGATAATCATAAAGATACTTTTAATTGATATTTGAAACAGAATATTGAATATTAATAGGATGATGAGGATATTCATGTGTAAATTGAAGTGAATTCGATGGTGTTAGTCGTCGATGTTCAATATCATGTTCAACAGCTTTTTCCCATCATTCATAGTTAACACCTTCAGCTAAATGAAGAAGTTTTATATGAACAGTCATGACTTTTTCATTTTTTAGTGGCATTAACATTTTTTAAAATGATATAATATCACCTTTTTTCGGGACATAATCATCATCAATACTAACTTATATTAACAGAGAAATAAAACAAATTCAATAAATATATTTTACTCATTAACATGAACAAAAATAAACGCATTTGAATCATCATTTTGATTGAATATTACCATAACCTTTTTCATGACAAAATTCATCAATTAGACTTTCATATGTTGGACTTTTTAATGTACGTCCACATCTAAATTAAAGATTAATTCTTGATTTTGTAATAGTAAATAAAAACACTTCAAGTTCTATATGATGTTTACGTTCTAGCAAGGAAAATACATTATATCTAACAATGTGAATGCCAGAATTGAAGAGCGATAGATGTGGGTTTTTGAGGAGAATCGGTAAGAAATAAAAAGCAATAAAACGCTAGAACATCACTGGAGAGAAACGGAAATTTTTCGTGGCGAAGAGTCACCTATAAGAATGCAATGGCGACAAGTAAATTACCGATCCATCGTCACCGTTGTATCATTAGTCATCCTTCGACTCATCCTCTGACGGCACTCGTTATCACCTATGTTCTGTCTTTCTTCTTATTGTGTCGAGATTTATTCATATGTAATTTTTCTTTTGTCGCGCTGGGTGTGGGTGTGGGTGTGGGTGAGTTAAGAGAACATCCACACCCACACCCACACCCACACCCACACACCCACCCACTCCCACACCCACACCCACACACCCACACCCACACCCACACCCGTACTGGAATTGTTTCTGTCCAATTGTAATACACAGCATGCCATCTATAATAAAATATTTTAATCATTAGGAAAATAAATCAATCAATCGATATTTACAATTTATATTTTCATCGTTCGATATGATCAACTTTTAAATTTGTTCGATCATCAACATAACACTACAAAAATAATTTATTTTATTTTCATTAATAAAAACAGAAAAAACAATTAAAACATACTTAAAATGTCTTGCTGCAATTCTTCCTTGTCGAGCACATTGTCAGATTAAATAAAAGTCATACCATTCACCCTTAAAAACACAAATATGAATATAAACATTTGTTTTTCTATATTTTTTGATAATTTATACTTGTGACAGTATGATTAATAATAGTTCCCAGTTGAGGATTTTTTATATAACGACCTTCTTGTTGAAAAACTCGAACATTACCACGTTTTTTTTACAATAACGACAGCTAGTTTTAGTTCATAACAAGTCTTTATCTTTGGAACTGTTTCGAATATTTGTGCTAATTCATGTTCAGCGACAATTGATAATTGACTATCACTAACACCATCTAGATAAAGAACAACTAATTTAATCAATAATAAATATATATAGAGATTTTTTTATTCATTTAAATCATATTTAAAAAGTAACTCGTTTTCTGGTAAACAGTTATTATATTGATAATATTATTCTAATGCATCGAAATAATTATAAAATAATAACGGAACGTTTATTTATTGAAATTTTTCATCGTAATACCATTTCATGTAAGCAGATAAACCATCCAGAACGTTCTTCTGCTCTACCTCTATAAATAACACGCTAATAGAATTCTGTTAATATTCGATTTGTTTATGCAACAAATCCACCTACAGATGCACCACGACGTTTTTAATCTAAATAAGGAAAAAAAAACCTTTCAATAAAAGGTTGCTAATATTTTATTATGAAACATAAAAAAACTGTTTTAATTCAAAAATTCATCTATCAAAAAAATAAAAAGACGAAAGGTATTATATCATATGGTAGAAATATGAAAGGGAAGTTTTTTTCGTAGTTTGACTGAGAAAAAGTTTTATTGTCGATATGCCGTAATATCTATAGAAACGTTCGAAGTCGAACATTTGAATATATGCTATTATCTAACGGACCTGAACTCTTTTCAGGTTATTCATAGCCTCTTTCCTTATAATTTATTTCTAGTGACTATATAATCGAAGCCTTCTGGAATGAATTTCATTTCAATTAGTATATATTTCACATTAATTCAACAAGACTTTATTGAATTAATGTCAAACTCATCAAATAATTCTATATAGACAAAAAATAAGTTCAACATAATTAAAAACAATCAACAAAAAATACATTATTGAGAAAAGGACAAAACTAACACTACCATAGATGACTATCTTCAGTGGGAATCCCCATTTTAGAAATTATTTATCATTATAACAAAATATCTGTCACGATTTTTTTTCTGAATAAACAGACTATTTAGAGATGTTAATTGAGAAAATAATGATTTATTGTCTAAAGGTATAGTTCGATTGGATATCTTCGAAAAATGATTGAAACTCAAACAATAGATCAATTTATCAATCTATGTATATTCGTTTACTATCTTCAATCAATAAGAATTTTAACTGTCATAATCTTTTATCGATCATTGATTTATTGATTTACATAAATAAATACAACTTACGAGGGAGGTACCCGAAGTGATTAACCGCTTTTGAGCTCATATTTTGGGTGTATAGAAGAGACCTCTAGACTAGAATAATCCTAAAAGGATTCGGGCCCATAGGCCTTCTCTACAGAGTTATAGCCATTTTACTTGAGTTTTAGCCTATGGCATGGTATGTACAAAGAAATCGATGGACGGTATTTCGATTTGAAATTTTGTCCACCGATAGGTCTACTTGTAATTAGAATACCCTGAAAATTTCAACTCAAAAGAATGTTTCTTTCGCAAGATATTGAATTCTCAAAAATCACTCAAATCCCATAAAACATGCGAGAATCTCATGTTTTCTCGACATTCAGTATCTTGCGAAAAAAACATTCTTTTGAGTTGAAATTTTCAGAGCATTCTAATTACAAGTAGACCTATCGGTGGACAAAATTTCAAGTCGAAATACCGTCTGTCGATTTCTTTGTACATACCATGCCATAGGCTAAAACTCAAGTAAAATGGCTATAACTCTGTAGAGAAGGCCTATGGGCCCGAATCCTTTTAGGATTATTCTAGTCTAGAGGTCTCTTCTATACACCCAAAATATGAGCTCAAAAGCGGTTAATCACTTCGGGTACTTCCCTCGTTAGATCAATGCATATGGATCGACTCCTAATTAGAAAAAAAATTGAAATAGATGGCACGTCGAAGCAATTATTCACGACGGAACGCGCTCTACCTTTTAATTGTGCCTTACAATCAGATTGCCGATATTTCTCAATCTAGAAAAACCAGAAACATTCTAGAACACTCTGATTCACAACACTGCCTTACGATTCCATTCATTTCTAGTCTTCGAAGACCAGACACGATCATTTTCCAAGCAATCAAGATGAAATCCGTTTGTTCTCTAGAGGTCGAAATTCTTGACTTATATAGACAATTTCGTCGGATAATACCTTGAAATCTTATATTGATCAGATTCAAATGATAGAGCAAAGTTACTGTACATTTCTGTACAATTGGCTTAGAGTTCAATCTTACAAAAAGATTGGTTAGAAAAGGTGCTTTGATACTTGATGGTATGCTTAGCCTTATCAAATAAAATATATTCAACTTGTCTTTATGCCCAACACCTATGATACTATTTCTATGTATTGTCTCGTGTTGACAAAAGAGTAAACGATCAGAAATACTTCGCACATTGAAAATAAACGTTCCATTTCCTAGGAAACTCTTTTTGCTGAGTTTTTCATTATCCGAAATGCTATTAACGGTATATCACTGTACAACAAAACGAGGACTTTCAATCTCTTACATCATATTGAGTCTATCTACCGATATAGAGAAAAAATATTTTACCTATAACTGTTTTAGTCCCCTAGCTTCAACTCGTTGACGTCTCTAACATCAGTTGACTATTTCGGGTGACATAATCAATTTGATTTTTATATTTCAAACGAAAACACTTCATGTTGGTCATTCTCCTGAACAGCTAAACTTTTATTATGAATATAATTATCTTCTTCAATTAAGACATTTTTTGAAAAAAGGTCAAGACGAGTCACTACCCCTAAGAGTATCATGGAAAATAATTTTAAAAACAACTTCTTGACTCTATCTTTTTAACGTGAGTAAATTACCTAGGAGATCCGAAAGATCCTTCAATGTTTTTTATACCTACAGTAAAATTCTTATCGCTTCAACAGATCATAACAAATAAAAAAGATTATTTTTCAATGTGTAATGGTCACAAGGGGGAAACAGCTGATTATTTGATTAGATATGATTTTAAGTGATTAGCAGTGATTAGCAGTGATTATTATTGATTAGGAGTGATTAGTAATGATTAGGAGTGATTAGGAGTGATTAGGAACGATTAGGAGTGGTTAGGAGTGATTAGAGTTGATTAGAAAAATGAATAAAAATCATATATTATTTAATGTCCCTATGCTTCTTTACTTGCGTTGTATACGGAAAACGAAACTGTTTTAAGCCATTTAATAGACTATGTTGCCATTAGATTTCGTTACCTATCTTAAAGTACCCGAAGCTTTTGCCTTAACTCTTTTGTATTGTTTTTCAATTTAAGGATTTTAAGAAGAAGTAACACGAACTATCAACAAGTACATATATTTCTAATTTCAAGAAAAAGTTTACGCAAAGAAAAGGAAACAATTCATCATTTTTTTGATGTTTGAATAACTCGTGATAATCTATTAGTAGATAAGCTATTATTGTCTCTTGTAAGAAGATAACAAGCCGTGGACTT